GCAAGAGGCTTCCGGCGTCATACCTATCGCGGACATTGCCATTGGATGCGCTGAGTCGCATTAGTAATAATCCCATGCAGCCTTGTAACAAGTTCTAACACTTGAATGTGTGTTGTAATCTACACCTTGATTTGGCTAATATACACTGAACAAAAATATAAACGCAACATGTAAAGTGTTGGTCCCATGTTTCATGAGTTGAAATAAAAGATCCCAGAAATGTTCCATGTGCACAAAAAACGTATTTCTCTAAAATGTTGTGCACAAATTTGTTTACATCCCTTAGTGAGAATTTCTCCTTTGCCAAGATAATCCATCCACATGACAGGTGTGGCATATCAAGAAGCTGATTAAACAACATGATCATTACACAGGTGCACCTTGTGCTGGGGAAAATAAAAGGCCACTCTAGAATGTGCAGTTTTGTCACACAATACAATGCAACAGATGTCTCAAATTTTGAAGGAGCGTACAATTGGCAGGAATGCAATTTGGAGCATGCAATTTGCAGGAATGTCCACCAGAGCTGTTGCCAGAGAATTTAATGTTAATTAATCTACCATAAACCGCCTCCAACGTTGTTTTAGATAATTTGGCAGTACGTCCAACCGGCCTCACAACCGCAGACCACGTGCATGGCTTCTTGTGGGCAAGCAGATTGCTGATGTCTACGTTGTGAACAGAGTGCCGCATGGTGACGGTAGGGTTATGGTATGGGCAGGAATAAGCTATGGACAACGAACAAAATTGCATTTTATCGATGGCAATTTGAATTTACAAAAATACTGTGACGAGATCCTGAGGCCCATTCTTTTTAAAGCTATTTGTGACCAACAGATGCATATTTGTATTCCCAGTCATGTGAAATCTATAGATTAGAGCCTCATTTATTTATTTCAATTGACTGATTTCCCCATATGAACTGTAACCCAGTAAAATCAATGAAATTGTTGCATGTTGCGTTTATATTTTTCAGTATAAATCCTCATTATTTATTTAAATGATTTTCAATTTGAGTGTCATTATTTCTATATAGCCTACAATTTCTCGTTCTGAACTTGCAACACAGGTGGGAGTTTAAGGACGGGTGTGGTATCAAATCAAAATGTATTGATCGCGTACACAGTTTAGCAGATGTTATAGTGGGTACAGCAAAATGCTTTTGTTACTAATAGTGGAGTAAAATGTCAAATGTGACAATGACGACAAGCGCAGCGGCTCACCGATTTGATAGCTCCAGCACAGTTACACCTCAGACATCACCTAAACAAAAACAATGAAACTGCTATGCAGTTGTCGGTTATCGCTGGTTAGCGCTGGAACTGATTGAATCTAGGCCCTAGTGATGAGTTATTATATTTTCATTTTCTTTTGGCTACTAAGAGACATTTAACTGCATATAGTGATTTACTTTCATAGCTTTGGTTGACATTTGTATCTTACAGATTCTCTCAGTATTCATGGATGTCATTCAATGGCAACATTGGCAAACATGCAGAACACTCTAAAGACCACTGGGATAGTGATGGTTAAAATATTACACAGACATGGAGTAGTGCTTTATTGCAGAACTTCACGGGCCATGTGATGTTCAGTATAGCTGTGGTATAGTCTTAAAGGTCATGGACAGTTAAAATCAAGTTTGTCATGAAATTGGATGATATTTGAAGGAAACCAGATCAAAGTATAAAAAATGACTGTTGCTTCTACATTGATAAAGTTTTATCATAAAGTTACTGGTCCGCTCCCCCATGTTAAACACTTGCATTCATTATTAAGGGTACAAGGAGACATTACCTTAACTCTCATTTTAATACACCAATGGTAACATGATGTTCTCTTACCTAATTTAAATAAGTTCTGCCTCGTAACCAACGTTGAAGAAGACGTGTTTGCAGAGGGGCGTGGTTCATATAGCTAGATACAGTGAGGGAAAAAAGTATTTGATCCCCTGCTGATTTTGTACGTTTGCCCACTGACAAAGACATGATCAGTCTATAATTTTAATGGTAGGTTTATTTGAACAGTGAGAGACAGAATAACAACAACAAAATCCAGAAAAACACATGTAAAAAATGTTATAAATTGATTTGCATTTTAATGAGGGAAATAAGTATTTGACCCCTCTGCAAAACATGACTTAGTACTTGGTGGCAAAACCCTTGTTGGCAATCACAGAGGTCAGACGTTTCTTGCAGTTGGCCACCAGGTTTGCACACATCTCAGGAGGGATTTTGTCCCACTCCTCTTTGCAGCTCTTCCCCAAGTCATTAAGGTTTCGAGGCTGACGTTTGGCAACTCGAACCTTCAGCTCCCTCCATAGATTTTCTATGTGATTAAGGTCTGGAGACTGGCTAGGCCACTCCAGGACCTTAATGTGCTTCTTCTTGAGCCACTCCTTTGTTGCCTTGGCCATGTGTTTTGGGTCATTGTCATGCTGGAATACACATCCACGACCCATTTTCATTGCCCTGGCTGAGGGAAGGAGGTTCTCACCCAAGATTTGACGGTACATGGCCCCGTCCATCATCCCTTTGATGCGGTGAAGTTGTCCTGTCCCCTTAGCAGAAAAACACCCCCAAAGCATAATATTTCCACCTCCATGTTTGACGGTGGGGATGGTGTTCTTGGGGTCATAGGCAGCATTCCTCCTCCTCCAAACACGGCGAGTTGAGTTGATGCCAAAGAGCTCGATTTTGGTCTCATCTGACCACAACACTTTCACCCAGTTCTCCTCTGAATCGTTCAGATGTTCATTGGCAAACTTCAGACGGGCCTGTATATGTGCTTTCTTGAGCAGGGGGACCTTGCGGGCGCTGCAGTATTTCAGTCCTTCACGGCGTAGTGTGTTACCAATTGTTTTCTTGGTGACTATGGTCCCAGCTGCCTTGAAATCATTGACAAGATTCTCCCGTGTAGTTCTGGGCTGATTCCTCACCGTTCTCATGATCATTGCAACTCCACGAGGTGAGATCTTGCATGGAGCTACAGGCCGAGGGAGATTGACAGTTATTTTGTGTTTCTTCCATTTGTGAATAATCGCACCAACTGTTGTCACCTTCTCACCAAGCTGCTTGGCGATGGTCTTGTAGCCCATTCCAACCTTGTGTAGGTCTACAATCTTGTCCTTGACATCCTTGGAGAGCTCTTTGGTCTTGGCCATGGTGGAGAGTTTGGAATCTGATTGATTGATTGCTTCTATGGACAGGTGTCTTTTATACAGGTAACAAACTTTAGGAGATTAGGAGCACTCCCTTTAAAAAGATTGTGCTCCTAATCTCAGCTCGTTACCTGTATAAAATACACCTGGGAGACAGAAATCTTTCTGATTGAGAGGGGGTCAAATACTTATTTCCCTCATTAAAATGCAAATCAATTTATAACATTTTTGACATGCGTTTTTCTGGATGTTTTTGTTGTTATTCTGTCTCTCACTGTTCAAATAAACCTCTCATTAAAATTATAGACTGATCATGTCTTTGTCAGTGGGCAAACGTACCAAATCAGCAGGGGATCAAATACGTTTTTCCCTCACTGTAGCTACTTTACTGGTGGCCAGATTTGACTGTAGGGTGTCAGCAAACATAATTAACATCCGTCAGTGCTGCTGTGAACCGCATCGCAAGAGACATGCCAAACAGGAGATGTATAAAACAAATTATATATATATAATTGATGCAATTTCAACGTTATTTGAGTTGCTTTGTGTATTACCAAATGTGTTTGAGACGATTTTACTGCAACACTGCTCAAAACATCCAAGTTGCTTGACATAGGGATTTCAAAGAGCTGTCAGTCACGATGAGCTCATGAATATAAGCTCCCCGCCACTCAGTCTGTCTTTTTAAACTTCCTAGTAGTTAGTCATGAGAGAAAAAGTACTTTTCAGAATGACTGTTTACCTTTAAAGATTATAGTTATTTTTATTTTATCTCATAGTATTGCATCCCATGGACAACAAGGACCTACCATGGGACAGAAACAGATTGAAGGTCATTGCTCCTGCTTTGATTCTCCAGCACAGGGCTGCACTATGGATGAGCATAAAGGACTATAAAGATCATGTGTGGCCGGTGATATCACATTTGATATGTATACTCATGATTTATTGCTCAATATAGCAATGTTTTTGAACTGACCACAACCAAGGAGCACAAAATACATTCCATCATTCATCTTCTCCTTATACAGAGCTAACACCCCTCTTCTTTGTATATTATTATGCATATAAGTCACATATCAAGAATATACTTTAGGATTTCTCAGTGATATGCTAATACCAATTCATCACGTCTGAGCTGTTTGTTTTTCATTGGCAGTAAGATACATTATGATGATCATCATGGGGTGCTCAGTGAAGTTAATAGTCCACAGTATGTCGATAAGTACAGTTCCCCAAAAAATGACTTTTACAATACGAGCATGTAGTCTACAAACAGCCCTTATGTTCATGCAGAACTGTGAAATATTCATATTATGAAATATTAACTTTTTTGTTGTTTATTTGGTACACAGTACAGATGTAAAAACTCATTCTCCATTCCCTGCCCTGACCCCTAAACTTTTACCCTTAACCTGACACCTTGACCTCCGACCCCAACTCCATTAACAAAAGTGGTCACAGTTGGCCATACGTGAATTAAAACACACCTATGTTTGTTACACAGTCATATGGATATACACTTATAATAACTTCTACAAATGTTTCAAGAGACGACTGGTTAAATCCATGCACTTCATGCACAGATGATGGTCATCCTCCAGACCACCGTAGTAGGGTCTCAATGGGTTCCATTCAGAAAGGAGTTTAAGGAGCAAGTTGAGAAATATGCCCATGAAGTCAATTGGATGAGAGCCATGTATGCCTTTTCTTTAAGTTTATTTTAATGGTGGTTTGATTGTCTGTTGTTTTTGTCATTGTTGTGGTAATGGTTGTGGTTGTCCAGGTGTCTTACAGTATAGTCTCTTCCAGAGAGTCAGGAGGCCATAGCTGTCCCCGTCTACTTCATGCCGCTCCGCAGCACCTGATTGGCTGCGATAAGCATGACGCTGATGATGAAAGCGATGGCGAATGCACATATCAGGCTCTTGCGTACACACGTCTGCTTGACTTGCTGCGTTGGACTAGCTGCTTGACAGGGAAGGCGGCAAGAGGATAAGGAAGGTATTTTAGAGGAAAAGAGATACATATAATGCAACTACCTCCGGCTTATGCATTTTCCCACCACGTCAACTTTGCACATCTCTCACCTGTTACTCCTTCTCAGTTAATCTATATGCCTGTCTCAAAAAAACAATTATACACAAAGTGTATTATAGTGTGTACAAGAAGTCTCTTACGATCTATATCCACCTGAGACACATGTTAAAGTGTGTATTATGCAGTGTGAACTATAAAGTGTCTACTATAAAGTGTGAACTATAAGGTCCCTTACTGTCTATATCCACCTGGCAGGCCCCTGGGTTCTCTATATGGCTCTCCTCGGTCATGATGATGTTCTCGATGTCCTTCATGGTTAGGTGGTCGCAGAACGTATCGTAGAGCAGCCTCTTCAGCTCCTCCACTGTCAGCTTCTGCATGTCAGTCTGGACACGCGCACACACGCACAGACAAACAGGAACTGATGTCACTACGGTGGATATACTGTTCCAAGGTTGATTTGATGTTTTTCACCCCAATGGATATGGTTAAGATTTGGGAATGGTAAGCTGATCCTGGACTTTCTAGCCTGAGAGAACAGCACAACACTGCCCATTGATGCGTGTGACATATTGAATGACTGTCTTGACTTGGGAACATTCACTTCCATACACACACTACAACGTGTGTGTGTTCTAAAATGAACACACACACACTGCTTAGGCATAGACAAGGGAAGCCTGAATCTGTCTCTACATACTTGGTAACTCCTATTACTATCAATATGGGAGGGTAATTATCTGAGAAACTGTCATAGAATCAACACCTGATTACATCTACATGGATTTCACTTCATTCGATAATAAGACGAGTGTATAAAAGGGGTGGCACTGTCCTATTAATTGTCTGCAATCACCCATCACCCACTGCAAAATTATCAGTTTCTCTGGTTTTACTATTTATAGGTATGTGTTTGGGTAAAAATAACATATTTGTTTTATTCTATAAACTGCTGACAACATTTCTCCCAAATAATTGTCAGTATGAGCATTTATTTGCAGAAGATGACAACTGGTCAAAATAACAAAAAAGATGCAGTGTTGTCAGACCTCGAATAATGCAATGAAAATAAGTTCATGTTCATTTTTAAACAACACAATAATAATGTTTTAACTTAGGAAGAGTTCAGAAATCAATATTCGGTGGAATAACCCTGATTTTCAATCGCAGCTTTCATGCGTCTTGGCATGCTCTCCACCAGGCTTTCACATTGATGTTGGGTGACTTTATGCCACTCCTGGCGCAAAAATTCAAGCACCTCGGCTTTGTTTGATGGCTTGTGACCATCCATCTTCCTCTTGATCACATTCCAGAAGTTTTCAATGGGTTTCAGGTCTGGAGATTGGGCTGGCCATGACAGGGTCTTGATCTGGTGGTCCTCCATCCACACCTTGATTGACCTGGCTGTGTGGCATGGTGCATTGTCCTGGGGAACAATGTCAGAGCAAAAGGAAGCACATTTTCTTCCAGGACAACCTTGTACGTGGCTTGATTCATGCCCAATTCCAGCCTTGCTGAAGCACCCCCAGATCATCACAGATCCTCTACCAAATTTCCCAGTGGGTGCGAGACACTGTGTCTTGTAGGCCTCTCCAGGTCTCCGTCTAACCATTAGACGACGAGGTATTGGGCAAAGCTGAAAATTGGACTCATCAGAGAAGATGACCTTACTCCAGTCCTCTACGGTCCAATCCTTATGGTCTTTTGCAAACCTCAGCCTGGCTCTTCTTTGATTCTCATTGATGAAGGGCTTTTTTCTAGCGTTGCACGACTTCAGCCCTGCCCCTAGGAGCCTGTTTCGAACCGTCCTCGCCGTGCACTTCACCCCAGCTGTCGTTTGCCATTCTTTTTGTAGGTCACTTGATGTCATCCTACAGTTGTTGAGTGACATTCAAATTAGTTGGCGGTCATCCCGGTCAGTAGAGAGTCGTTTTCGCCCTCTGCCGGTCTGTAGCTTTGTTGTCCCCAATGTCTGCTGCTTGACTTTGTTCTCTGCCAGTAAAGCAAGAATTGAACCCTTCTTTTCCTCATTCAAAACTTTCCTTTTCAACTCTTTTGGCATGGTCAATAGTTATTTTGATTTAATTAGATTTATTTTATTATTTTTTGATTAATATTACTTTTGAGGTACTATTAGCACTGTTTTTGCCATCCAGCTGGTCCTATTGCAAGAGGATAGTGATGACCACAGCAGTGGTTTTTATACTTTTCTTCGTTAAATAAGATTTGGTCCATGTGATCACCTAATCAGTACCTAATTCAGTAGAATGAGGTGTGCCTGTGTTGGAATTCAACAGAAACTGGAATGTGATGGCTGTCATACATGTAGAGATGCTGATTTAAGAAAAATTGGCAGTGGTCTCTTAATTTTTTCCACAGCTGTATATATACAGTTGAAGTCGGAAGTTTACATACACTTAGGTTGGAGTCATTAACACTCGTTTTTCAACCACTCCACAAATTTCTTGTTAACAAACTATAGTTTTGGCAAGTCGGTTAGGACTTCTACTTTGTGCATGACACAAGTCATTTTTGCAACAATTGTTTACAGACAGATTATTTCACTTATGATTCACTGTATCACAATTTCAGTGGGTCAGAAGTTTACATACACTAAGTTGACTGTGCTTTTAAACAGCTTGGAAAATTCCAGAAAATGATGTCATGGCTTTAGAAGCTTCTGATAGACTAATTGACATAATTTGAGTCAATTGGAGGTGTACCTGTGGATGTATTTCAAGCATACCTTCAAACTCACTGCCTCTTTGCGTGACATCATGGAAAAATGAAAAGAAATCAGCCAAGACCTCAGAAAAAAAATGGTAGACCTCCACAAGTCTGGTTCATCCTTGGGAGAAATTTCCAAACGCCTGAAGGTTCCACATTCATCTGTACAAACAATAGTATGCAAGTATAAACACCATGGGACCACGCAGCCGTCATACCGCTCAGGAAGGAGACGCGTTCTGTCTCCTAGATATGAACGTACTTTGGTGCGAAAAGTGCAAATCAGTCCCAGAACAACAGCAAAGGACCTTGTAAAGATGCTGGAGGAAACAGGTACAAAAGTATCTACATCCACAGTAAAACAAGTCCTATATCGACATAACCTGAAAGGCCGCTCAGCAAGGAAGAAGCCACTGCTCCAAAACCGCCATAAAAAAGCCAGACTACGGTTTGCAACTGCACATGGGGACAAAGATCGTACTTTTTTAAGAAATGTCCTCTGAATTTAGAATTGTTTGGCCATAATGACCATCATTATGTTTGGAGGAAAAAGGGGGTACCTTGCAAGCCGAAGAACACCATCCCAACCGTGAAGCACGGGGGTGGCAGCATCATGCTGTGGGGGTGCTTTGCTGCAGGAGGGTCTGGTGCACTTCACAAAATAGATGGCATCATGAGGAAGGAAAATTATGTGGATATATTGAAGCAACATCTCAAGACATCAGTCAGGAAGTTAAACCTTGCTCGCAAATGGGTCTTCCAAATGGACAATGACCCCAAGCATACTTCCAAAGTTGTGGCAAAATGGCTTAAGGACAACAAAGTTAAGGTATTGGAGTGGCCATCACAAAGCCCTGACCTCAATCCTATAGAAAATGTGTGGGCCGAAATGAAAAAGCGTGTGCGAGCAAGGAGGCCTACAAACCTGACTCAGTTACACCAGCTCTGTCAGGAGGAATGGGCCAAAATTCACCCAACTTATTGTGGGAAGCTTGTGGAAGGCTACCCGAAACGTTTGACCCAAGTTAAACAATTTAAAGGCAATGCTACCAAATACTAATTGAGTGTATGTAAACTTCTGACCCACTGGGAATGTGATGAAAGAAATAAAAGCTGAAATAAATCATTCTCTCTACTATTATTCTGACATTTCACATTCTTAAAATAAAGTGGTTATCCTAACTGACCTAAGACAGGGAATTTTTTAATAGGATTAAATGTCAGGAATTGTGAAAAACTGAGTTTAAATGTATTTGGCTAAGGTGTATGTAAACATCCGACTTCAACTGTACATATCCTTTAAAAAATATATATTTCCCTTTATTACTTTCCAACCCCACCACCCCTTCCCTAATTGGAGTAAACTACTGAACAACAACGCTTCAGCCTCTACTTCCAGCTTATACATACTATATACATTTTATGGACACAGTCAATTTTACAATAATTATATTTAGTTTGTTTTTACTCCTGAACTTCCTCTACCCTCAACCTCTCCGATCATTTCTATGATGTCCATCCGGTTTGCTTCTTTATGTCATATCTTTCTAACTGTGCTCTTTCACAAAAGCTCTCAACCTATAACCTATATACTTATTATGGACCCAGTATGCTTTGCATGAGTTATCTTGTTATTAGTTATTGTTAGTTGTTATTAGTCCTATCCTTCACAAAGACTTATCTAAACGTGATAGATAAATTATTTGATAGACAGATGACAGCTATAGCGAAGCATCATGATCACCCAGAAGCCTTTGCTTCAGCTTGTCAGTGGTAATAAGCAGGAGAGAAGCGGGTAATGATTATTTACCTTCCAGAACACGGAGTCAAAGTCGGTTCCATGAAACTTGTCAGGCATTCCGGCTGCTGTCAGCTTGGGTCCCAGGAGAGTGACAAACTCCTCAAAATCCACCTGACCATCACCTGTTGAAGACAGGAAGTTGATGACATCTGTTATGCTAGTGTGTGTGTGTCTGCGTGTAAGCATGAATGCGTGTATGCGTGCCTATGTGGGTGCCTGTGTGTGTGCCTGTGTGCGTGCCCTGCGTATGTTTGTCGATGTGAGTGTCTCACCATCCATGTCCAGTCTCTGTATGATGACCTCCAGCTCCACCTCGTTGGGCATGTATCCCAGGGACCTCATGGCCATGCCTAGCTCCTGCTTGGAGATAAAGCCATTCCCATCACGGTCAAACACCTTGAACGCCTCGCGGATCTCTGCAGAGAAGACAAATACGAAGGAGTGTATGAAACCAGCCTACCTGTGCCATGCGCCTAAGCAATCAATCAATCAATCAATGTCTGGTTGTGCGTGTGTGTTTGGTGGGTGGATCTTAATTGCACAAAGCCTATTATTTGGCAGGGAATAGTATTTTTATTGATTCTACACATCACTTTGCTCAAGCTGATACCCTCCAACTGAGTTGTAAATTGTAGCAATTTTTTGGTTGCAAACGGCCTATGTCACATTGATATTAGTCAGAAACATTTATTCCAGTGCCAATTTTTACAAAGAAAGTGTAAGTATAATAATTCTGGTCATAAAGGCTCAATCCCAATAACTCCACTTTAGCCCTCCCCCCTTTTGCGCAATCCCATGAGCCCCATCGAGTCATAGTGTTATCCCAAATCAACTTTGCGTAGTGCCTTTTCATCCCTCTAGTTGGCCCTCCAAACGAAGTGAATCGAGATGCAGACTTTCTATCGAATGTTTCCCAGAACTCCCATGAAGCTCTGTGACCCAACCCTGGAGAGTTGCTTGAAGAATAACGGATGAGAAAATTACTAGGATTTAAGCAAAATGTAAGGAATTATAATTTTATAACAAATCAAGTAAAACATTTACAGTTAACAGGAATATTTTAGCTGTAGAGACAAATTATGATGCATATTTTTTTGTCATAAAGTTAATTTACAAAAATCACAATTTAACAAGCTATCTGACTAGCTAACATTGGCCAGCTAGCTATACATTTAGCTTGCTATATGGGCGTTTCACATTTGTATGAATTATAATTTGTCTTGTTTAATGTTTTAGGAACTCCTGAGCAAACCAGAAAACCAGGCTGTCATCTTGTGAAACCAAGTGGAAGTAAAGAATCTAGCTAAAGCATTTAATGTTACTGCAAATTGAATGAACAATTTTGTAAACTTGCCTTGCTGTTCAAAAAAAATAATATACGTCCACTTGTCACTGTTCTTTATTGTAGTAGCGTTAATGTTAGAGATTGAAGATATTTGTCATGCAATGCAGCTGAATTAACATAACTAGCGAACTATTTTCTTGCTTATTGTGTAGTAGACTATAAAAATACCTGTATTCCTATGGATGCGTAGCTATGTAGCCGATCTGTGTATAGACCTTAAAACGTTTGGAATAAATATTAGTTCAGAATAGGGGTTTTCATTTTGTATTGCTTCCACTGATTAATCATCAATCCCCAAGAAATTGCAGAAAACATGTGAAGGAAATGCGACTGTTACATTTCAAACCGCAAACTGTTGGGATTGAGCCAAAGTCAGAGTTTTATGAGATTTGTGTAACTGAAGATATCACGATTTACATGAGAGTTGGGTTTGGATAACAATCATGCCCACTTATCCACTAACACTGGATTGTAACACCTAGGGAAAACTGTCATGCAGCTGAGCTGATTGCACTCTATCCAATCATAGCAGCGAACCTCCAGACAGTGAGACAGACCTGCCCATTACACAACGCCTCAGACTCTGACATGTTTACATAAGACATGTTTACAACGCCAATGTTATGTTGAAAGAACACTTGGCCACCAATTGTTTTATGGTAATGCCACCTATTGATGTGTTTGACAGTGATTACTCAAATCTGCCACTGTTTTGGTCATAATGAGAATTGAGACGATGCGCACTTGCATCCCAACTGCCACTTGTCAATATTCAAAAATTCTAAACCTGTACACGAGCATCTTGTGTCCCGCCACAACTTGTTTTGTAACATGATTCGATATAAAACACTGCCAGACAGAAACACACTCTGGTAATAGATAGTGAGAAAGTTGTAAACGCGAAACGTCACCGAAACACACAAGTCGCCACTCGCCAGTGACTTGATAGCTGATTTAGCTAATATTGTCTGTCTGCTCAATGTGTCTGCTAGCTACTACTAGCTAGCTTCATTGACAACAGTGGTGTAAAGTACTTAAGTATAAATACTGTAAAGTACTACTTTAGTCGTTTTTTGAGGTATCTGTACTTTACTATTTATATTTCTTTGATCATTTTTACTTCACTACATTCCTAAAGAAAATAATGTACACAGAACAAAAATATAAATGCAACAGGCAACAATTTCAAAGGTTTTACTGAGTTACAGTTCATACGTGTAAGGAAATCAGTCAATTTAAATAAAATCATTAGGCCCTAATCTGTGGATTTCACATGACTGGGAATACAGATATGCATCTGTTGGTCACAGATACCTAAAAAAAAAAAAAAAAAACGGTCAGTATCTGGTGTGACCACCATTTGCCTCATGCAGTGCGACACATCTCCTTCGCATAGAGTTGATCAGGCTGTTGATTGTGGCCTGTGGAATGTTGTCCCACTCCTCTTCAATGGCTGTGCGAAGTTGCTGGATATTGGCGGGAACTGGAACACGCTGTCGTACATGTCAATCCAGAGCATCTCAACATGCTCAATGGGTGACATGTCTGTTGAGTATGCAGGCCATGGAAGAACTGGGACATTTTCAGCTTCCAGGAGCTGTGTACGGATCCTTGTGACATGGGGCCGTGCATTACCATGCTGAAACATGATGGGATGGCTTTGGCTGAATGGCACGACAATGGGCCTCAGGATCTCGACACGGCATCTCTGTGCATTCAAATTGCCATTGATAAAATGCAATTGTGTTCGTTGTCCGTAGCTCATGCCTGCCCATACCATAACCCCTTCGCCACCATGGGTCACTCTGTTCACAACGTTGACGTCAGCAAACCGCTTGCCCACACGCCGCCATATACGCTGTCTGCCATGTACAGTTGAAACAAGGATTCATTCCTGAAGAATACACTTCTCCAGTGTGCCAGTGGCCATCGAAGGTGAGCATTTGCCCACTGAAGTCGGTTATGACTCTGAACTGCTGTCCTTTCAAGACCCTGGTGAGGACGACGAGCACGCAGATGAGCTTCCCTGATACGGTTTCTGAAAGTTTGTACAGAAATTATTTGGTTGTGAAAACCCACAGTTTCATCAGCTGTCCGGGTGGCTGGTCTCAAGACGATCCCGCAGGTGAAAAAGCTGGATGTGGAGGTCCTAGGCTGAAGTGGTTACATGTGGTCTGGGGTTGGTTGGACGTACTGCCAAATTCTCTAAAACGACGATGGAGGCAGCTTTTGGTAGAGAAATAAACATTACATTCACTGGCAACAGCTCTTGTGGACATTCCTGCAGTCAGCATGCCAATTGCACGCTCCCTCAAAACTTCCGACATGTGTGGCATTGTGTTGTGTGACAAAACATTTTTGAGTGGCCTTTTATTGTCCCCAGCACAAGGTGCACCTGTGTGATGATCATGCTGTTTAGCTTCCTGATGTGCCACACCTGTCAGGTGGATGGATTATCTTGGCAAATGAGAAATGCTCACTAACAAGGATGTAAACAAATTTGTGCACATTGAGAAATAAGCTTTTTGTGCGTATGGAACATTTCTGTTAACATGTTGCGTTTATATTTTTGTTCAGTATACTTTTTACTCCATACATTTTCCCTGACACCCAAAAGTATTCGTTACATTTTGAATGCTTAGCAGGACAGGAACATTTTCCAATTCACGCACTTATCAAGAGAACGTCCCTGGCCATCCATACTGCCTCAGATCTGGCGGACTCACTAAACACACATGCTTCATTTGTAAAGCCCCTGGCAATCAGTAAAAAATATATATATATATATTGATACTTAAGTATATTTTAGCAATTACATTTACTTTATACACTTAGTATATTTAAAAACAAGTACTTTTAGAATGTTAGTCAAGTAGTATTTTACTGGGTGACTTTCACTTTTACTTGAGTCATTTTCTATTTAGGTATCTTTAATTTTACTAAAGTATGACAATTGGGTACTTTTTCCACCACTGATTGACAAACGCAGAGATGGAACAGCTATCTAACTAGCTAGCTAGTGATGTTGGGCACTGATAAACAGCGTGTAGCAGCTTGTGCTTCATTTACGATAGATTGACAGCTTGCTGATGATGAAGTTGTAGACATTCTCAGAATATCCGCCAGACTGCACGAATACATCCTGGTTGTCGTAGATTATGCTACCAAGTTCCAAGAGGCCATACGCCTTCGCAACATGTCGTCAAAGGGAATCGCCAAGGAATTGTTCATGCTGTTTTCCCGGGTGGGCCTTCCCAAGACGATACTGACCGAAAAGGGAACCCTGTTAATGTCCCCGTTGATGAAGGACCTGTGTCGGTTAAACCAGGTTCAACAGATATGCACAAGCATATTTCACCCACAGACAGACGGTTTGTTGAGAAGACTTGTGTCCAGTGACGGGAAAAACTGGGACATGCTTCTGTCCCACTTAATGTTCGCCCTGTGAGAAGTACCACAGGCGTCCACAGGGTTTTCCCCATTCGAATTGCTGTACGGCAGACCATGTCGATGGATCCTCGACTTAGCCAAGGAGACCTGGGAGGCCCAACCCTGCCCAACATGTTACCCTGATGCGGGACCGACTGTCGGCAATCTGGCCCATAGTAAAGGAGCATATGGAGAAGACGCAACAGACTCAAGTCCGAGCCTACGATAAGTCGCCGTGGGAGAGAAAGTGATGGTACTCGTGCCCACAGCCAAACACCGCTTGCTGGCGCAGTGGAGGGGGCCCTACGAGGTAACGGAGAGGGTCTCACCTGTCAATTACCGCATCAAGCAACCTGACAGGAGGAAGAAGGACCAACTCTATGATGTCAACCTGCTGAAGAAGTACCATGAAAGAGAGGAGGGTGTGGCTTTGATGGCAGTGGAGGACGAGGGAAAAAAGGAGGCCCCTCTACATGTACGCCATGGCCGAAATCTCCTGCCGGAGCAGTCGAGACAGCTAGACAAGCTGATTATGCAATTCGGCAGGGTATTCTCTTCCTCCCCAGGACAAACAGAGGTCCTGTTTCACATTATCCACACCGAGCCAGGCAAAAAGGTGCATATCCGGCCATACCGGATTCCCAAGGCCCGCCGAGCCATCGCTAAGAATGAGGTAAGTGAGATGCTGAGGATGAGGGTGATCGAACCATCTATGAGTGAGTGGTCCAGCCCCATAGTCCTGGCCCCCAAACAACGACTTTAGGGTCTTAAACGCCATCTCTATGTTCGACGCATATCCCATGCCCCACGTGGATGAACTTTTGGAGCGCTTGGGAAAGGCCAAGTTCATCACCACCCTGGATCTGACGAAGGGATATTGGCAAGTGCCGGTGGCTCCAGAGGACCGCCCAAAGACTGCCTTCGCCACACCAGAGGGGCTTGTTCAGTATGTGAGGATGCCCTACAGACTGCATGGAGCAGCGGCGACTTTCCAACGCCTCATGGATGCCATTTTACGGCCCCATCAAGAGTACGCTGTGGCGTACATAGACGATGTGGTCATCCACAGCGAGGACTGGGATAGCCACCTCCGGCGACTGCGGGCAGTGCTCGTGAACTTGGAGGCTACAGGGCTAACAGCCAATCCAAAAAAATGCTGCCTGGGTCTTTCCGAAGCGGAATACTGGGATACACCGTGGGGAACGGACAAATACGTCCACGGGCAAAAAAGACCAGGGTTATTCGGGACTGGCCTCGGCCCCAGACGAAGCCGGACATCCAAGCCTTCTTGGGAATAACGGGATATTATCGTCGTTTTATCCCTGGATATGCCACCATTGCCACCCCCCTCACAAATCTCATCAAGAAAAACCTGCCAAACCATGTAGTGTGGAAGGAGGAGATGGAAAACGCCTTCCAGTCACTAAAAGATAGCCTGTGCTCTGATCCCATCCTGCAGGCTCCCGACTTCTCCCGAGAGTTCATTGTGCAGGTAGATGCCTCGGATACGGGGCTCGGGCCGTCCTGGCTCAGGGTGAAGGCGAAGCCGAGAGGCCTATTCTCTTCATAAGTAGGAAGCTCAGTGACTGGGAACAGAGAGATGCTACCGTAGAGAAAGAGGCCCTAGCCATTAAGTGGGCCCTCGATTATCTCCGGTACTACCTACTCGGGCGTAGGTTCGCCCTCGTTACTGACCACACTCCCCTCACGTGGATGGCCGGTAAGAGAAACAATAACAACAGAATAGCCAGATGGTTTCTTGCATTACAACCATTCTCTTTCCATGTCATCCACAGGGCTGGATTGAGGAACGGGAATGCGGACGCACTGTCCCGACACGACCAAGTCGATGCGTCTGGCACCCGGCCCTCCGGTCCGGTCCCGGCAATTCCTTTGCCCACTGATAGTTGCCCAACCTGGCATGTGAGTAGAGGGGATCAGAGGCAGTTAAGCACACCTGGCGGCACTAATCACCTATTCTCTTCCTCCTACATAAGATATGGTAGAACCAGTAGTACGGGAGAGCTCGGTGGAAAAAGGACGTGTTGATTCTCCAAATGGACTACTTACCTGACAGACGACAGAAGAAAGGAACGGACTACCTCTTGGGAATGGCATACACCGATTCTCACCACCCCAAGAAATAAGCTCTCCACAAACGTCTAGTTAAGACGGTGACACACCCATGATTTATGTTATAGTTAAAAGTTACTCACCTTGATGTCTTTATTCCTGTAAAGAAGAAGATGTGTGTTATTCTTTTGAGATCATCCTTGATTGTGTGGGCATGTTAGAGAACTTTGTTCTATGTCAAAAAACCTGCTCCCGACTCGTTTATTCCACCTTTCCGCTTTAGAGCAACCAACAGAATACTTGGTCCGCTCACAATGTAAAATTGCGCGACATAGACCTCTTCGGCAAAAACTTCCAAATTAATTACAGATTTCTTGATTAATCTTTTATTAATTCTGACTATTTTGAGGAAGTGGTAGTGGCTAAGTTGTTGCTACCGTGACTCAAGAGGGACAAACAAAAGTAATTGCCAGGGTACAATAAAGCGAACATATCACACCCACATCGAACCACACCCCCAAGACTCAAATCAAATTTTGAGCAGCAGAATTGGTGAGTTCAGCCGGTCTTTGAAGGGGAGAGTCAATGAAACCAACAATGGAAGTATATTGTAGCAAATTCAGGGGGTAGACCTGGATTCAAACCCTGGTCCAGTGACTGTCAAGCCAACACCTTAACCGTTACACCAAGAGGACTCAGCATATTAGCATTGTCAATTGTCATGAATGTAAACAGCTAAACCGATGTTAGCAGTGCTGCACTGCAAGCTGAAACTTCCTAAAAAACATTTCAAACTAAATTTGGTAATGTTGATACTCAAAAAGAACCTGACCATGTTTTCTTCCCCACAAGAATTGTGTTATTTTTGCAGTTATTAGTATTTTTCCCATGCTCTGATAGTTCCATCAAGCCACCAGTGAGTTTGTTCACAGCTCTGTTCCCGGTTTCCCAAAGCATCTTAAGGCTAATAAGTTCATAAGGTGCGTTTGGGAAACCGGGCCCTGGTAATCAGTCCGCACCCTTCAAGGGGTTGGCTTGACAGCCGCTGGATCCAGGTTTGTGTCCCGGTCGGGGCTACCCCCGAATTCGCTACAATATACTTCCATGGTTGGTTTCATTGACTCTCCCATTTAACTGCCCCTAATTGAACCATTTGTTGATACAGCTTCTGAGTCCATTGGAGAGGATAATCTTGAGAAAAGTGAGGTGTAGATGTAGATTATAGTCACTGATCTATAAATAGTATTCCCTGCCAAATAATAGGCTTTGCATGATTAAGATTAGCAGAGCTAGGCCTCCCCTGGCATAGCGATCCCCACACCAAACACCCAAACCAGACATTGATTGATTGGAGATAGCTTGTGTCATTTCTTAGGATTTTCTACCTGCAGTAAACCTAGTGGATAATGCTGGAAATACCGGTAAAAGCTAAGTGCCTCAAATAAGTCAAAAATGCATGGCCCTAGTTAGGCCGTCTATATATAGTTGCTTCTGGACAAAAATGTCTGACAGACACATTATTAGAGGAAATGTTTGCTTTTCCATTGTACTTTAATCAAATCTAAAGCATACTGACCAGGTCCAGCTTTAAAATACTTCCCCCACATCTGGAAAAGCTCCAAAGCCCCTTTCCTTATTAGTGACAGTCATATAGGAAAAATCCACTTGTCAAGTCATAATGTCAAATGACTGATCATAAAATATGTAGCATAAAGGATACCGGTTTAGGGGATGTATCTCTCTAGATACAGTAGATGATAAGTAGATCTACTGTAGGATGAATCTGCTCTAGTAGCTACTCTGTTTGCTTTCAGGGTCAGATTGCTTGCTCTTACTTAGATCCATGGTTGTCTTATCATATCAAAGACTGAAACTGGCTTGGGACGTTTTTTTCTGTCTTCAAACACAGTGAAAAGAGCCAGGGTTGAACAGAGTTTAAACTAAACATGAGTGTTTTTGCAAGATAAGGATTGATTGATTGTAGTACTCTGAACTTAATGAAAGTTGAGTTTAGCCGCTCTCAGAGACAAAGGAAAGTGGGCGGAGCAATAAAAGAGTGGGAAAACTGAAGAGGACTATATAAGATGGAGGGAGACCGTAAGGGGGAGTGCCACTCTGCAGACTGGTATCGGCTTTGTTGAAACTCTAATAAAGTAATCTTGATGCAACAAAAACTCTGTAAGACCTTATTTGTAATATAGTATAGTGGTTATTTTCCACAACATTACAAATGTTCAAGCATTCGTAATTCTGTGTTCACTCTTAAAACTCATTGTTAATTATATGCAGTGTAGTGAATGTGATTTGCTGTTGCATTGATGTAGTGGGGTTTCAGAATGGGGATGTATGGGCAAGTCTGGCCAAAATAAACCCCTGACAAATATTTGAGGAAGACAAAAACAAAATGCGAGGATGAATGATGACAAAATGTGTTGTGTATTGTATAGATAAGATGTTGCCAAGGCTTTGGGATTTTCTTTTTTTTTAAAGGCGCAAACAGAATGGAAACCCGTCCGCTACAGGAACAGGGGTACTTGGCTATCATGGATTACAATGGATTACAATGTGACAAACAATTTATAAGGTGGAGTAAATTTGTGCACACAATTTGAGAGAAATAAGCTTTTTGTGCACATGGAACATTTCTGGGATCTTATATTTCAGCTCATGAAAATGGGAACAACACTTTACATGTTGCGTTTATATTTTTGTTAAGTATATATACAGTCGATACACTGAGTGTACAAAATATTAGGAACTCTTTCCATGACAGACTGAGCAGGTGGTAGCCTATCTATTTGAATAAATTAGTCAAGTTATGTCACATTCACCATCCAGGGACTTCTGTGACAGCTCTCGCTACAACATCTTGGAGGTATTATGATCATTTTATAAAGCATTCGTAAGCATTTCTAAACATTTCTAAGCACCCCTTCGGTGGCTGGTACATGGGCACCGAGATTGTTGTCAGGGACTTCTGTGACAGCTTTCGTTACATTTTTCAAATTTTTTGTAATTTAGCAGACGCTCTTATCCAGAGCAACTTACAGTTCGTGAGTGCATACATTTTCATACTGTCCCCCGTGGGAAACGAACCCACAACCCTGGCGTTGCAAGCGCCATGCTCTACCAACTGAGCTACAGGGGACTACAATGGGGGACTACAATGGTTAAATGCCACTATTTTGACATTCTAATGAGACCATGCGGTATTACAGTGATATAACAGTGTTACATGTGTTATGCATGAGTTTGAGGACTTTTTACTATTATTTTTTACTATGATACTTAAAACCTGGAATCTACAATATGCTTTACTGTAATCTGGTAGGGTTATTTATGATACGTCTTCAATACTTACCAGTGTGGCAGATTAATCTGATATCATGACAACATACAGTACCAGTCCAACGTTTGGACACACCTACTCATTCAAGGGTTTCCTAATTTTTACAATTTTCTACATTGTAGAATAGTAGTGAAGACATCAAAACTATGAAATAACACATATGGAATCATGTAGTAACCAAAAAAGTGTTAAACAAATCCAAATATATTTTATATTTGAGATTCTTCAAAGTAGACACCCTTTGCCTTGATGACAGCTTTGCACACTCTTGGCATTCTCTCAACCAGCTTCATGAGGTAGTCACCTGGAATGCATTTCAATTAAAAGGTATGCCTTGTTAAAAAGTTCATTTGTGGAATATCTTTCCTTCTTAATGTGTTTGAGCCAATCAGTTGTGTTGTGACAAGGTAGGGGTGGTATACAGAAGATAGCCCTATTTGGTAAAAGACCAAGTCCATATTATGGCAAGAACAGCTCAAATAAGCAAAGAGAAACGACAGTCCATCATTACTTTAAGACATGAAGGTCAGTCAATACAGAACATTTCAAGAACTTTGAACGTTTCTTGAAGTGCCGTCGCAAAAACCATCAAGCGCTATGATGAAACTGGCTCTCATGAGGACCGTCACAGGAAAGGAAGACCCAGAGTTACCTCTGCTGCAGAGGATAAGTTCCTTAGAGTTACCAGCCTCAGAAATGGACATTAGACCGGTGGAAATCTGTCCTTTGGTCTGGAGTCCAAATTGGAGATTTTTGGTTCCAACCGCCGTGTCTTTGTGAGACGCAGAGTAGGTGAACGGATGATCTCTGCATGTGTAGTTCCCACCGTGAAGCATGGAGGAGGAGGTGTGATGGTGTGGGGGTGCTTTGCTGGTGACACTGTCTGTGATTTATTTAGAATTCAAGGCACACTTAACCAGCATGGCTACCACAGCATTCTGCAGCGATACACCATCCCATCTGGTTTGGGCTTAGTGGGACTATCATTTGTTTTTCAACAGGACAATGACCCAACACACCTCCAGGCTGTGTAAGGGCTATTTTACCAAGGAGTGATGGAGTGCTGCATCAGAAAAGCTGGTATCCACAATCACCCGACCTCTAACCAATTGAGATGGTTTGGGATGAGTTGGACCTCAGAGTGAAGGAAAAGCTGCCAACAAGTGCTCAGCATATGTGGGAACTCCTTCAAGACTGTTGGAAAAGCATTCCAGGTGAAGCTGGTTGAGAGAATGCCAAGAGTGTGCAAAGCTGTCATCAAGGCAAAGGGTGGCTACTTTGCAGAATCTCAAATAAAAAAATATTTAGGTTTTTTTTACACTTTTGTATTACTACGTCATTCCATATGTGTTATTGTATAGTTTTGATGTCTTCACTATTATTCTACAAGGTAGAAAATAGTAAAAAATAAAGAAAAACCCTTGAAATAATAGGTGTGTCCAAACTTTTGACTGGTACTGTACATACAGAGCTAACATTCATCACTTATACGCTCAACATTCATGCAATAGGTTTCCATAACACATCAAAATATACACTGAGTATACAAAGCATTAAGGACACCTGTTGTTTCCATGACATGGACTGACCAGGTGAATCCAGGTGAAAGCTATGATGACTTATTGATGTCACCTGTTAAATCCACTTCCATCTGTGTAGATTGAGGGAAGGAGACAGGTTAGATAAAGATTTTTAAGCCTTGAGACAATGAGACATGGATGTGTATGTGTTCCATTCAGAGGGTGAATGGGCAAGACAAAATATTTAAGTGCCTTTGAACGGGGTATGGTAGTAAGTGCCAGGCGCACCGGTTTGAGTGTGTCAAGAACTGCAATGCTGCTGGGTTTTTCATGCTCAACAGTTTCCCGTGTGTATCAAGAATGGTCAACCACCCAAAGGACATCCAGCCAACTTGACACAACTGTGGGAAGCATTTGAATCAACATGGGCCAGCATCCCTGTGGAACGCATTCGACATCTTGTAGAGTCCATGCCTCAACAAATTGAGGCAGTTCTGAGAGCAAAAGGAGATGTAACTCAGTATTAGGAAGGTGTTCCTAATGTTTTGTACACTCAGTGTACGCTTACAGTATATAACTAACATCAATGCCATAGCTGGCAGCACAAGACATCTATTAACACACTGTAAACCCAAAAAGTACTATTTAATAATTGGATTAAGTTCTGTAAACATAATATATGTGAAAACGTTGTAGTAACATATGTGTTTTAGGTTCCCATAACATGCACCTCACTTTTGTTTTCGTGATACTTATATTTTTTGTCAGATGAAATGTATCGGAGAGTTTATGTAAACAGGACTTCTGATTATTAGATTGACAGGCACACATATCTGTCAAGTTTGACCTTGATTACGTCTGACATCATATACGTACGTCGATGTTTAAAGGCACGCATGTGGCATCAAAATCTTTCCAACATGGCGGACGGTCCCTGCGACAGTGGATACTTTCTTAATGGTAAAAATGTATTAATGATTATTAACTGTATCGTGCGTGTATGATTTGTCGAACTCAAATGGATATCTGTCAAGCTAGCAATCTGGTTAACTGGCAAGTGCCAGGCAGGGCTAACATTAGCTAGTTAGCTAGGCGCCAGGTAGATTAGCTGGCTAGAGCTAGCTAGCTAGATAGTATGATTTGAAGATGCCGGTGGTGGGGAAGTAACGTTAGGTAGCGTTGATGATGCATAATCAGTTTAAAGTCATTAATGAAAGCTGGAAATTAAATGCAGGCAAGCAAAGCTCTGGAAGCATGTGAAGCATGAAGGTGACTGGAGTCAGATTTGTCTCTGCTGGAGTGGACTTCACCAGCTACAAACGAATACACGAGCTACAAACAAACACAAGTGTGCACTGTCGCCTGAGGGTTCGCGCAGTAAGTTAATGACTTTGCTTCAATAGATAATAGTAGCTGTACATTTTAATGTTTGAACATTATTTGTGTGGTAGTGTTTCTTTGGAGAATATATCCATTGTCAAGATCTCTATCCCTATCCGAATTGTACAACGCGCCAAACACGTTATCTAGCTAGCTAACTCACCCACGCACTGTAAAAAAGCGTTGATGGATATCGTTAACTAGCTAGTTGCTTAAACATAAGGATTTGGTGTCATATGTGATTAAAAAAATTCGGAAGCATATTTTGTCAAATGTGCTTATTAGCTACGCCATGTTTCCTGGTTATGTGCAACTATGTTGGCTTGCTAGCTATGCTACTTGTCTAGCTTGCTAGCTGCCTCATTTGGCGCATGTCTGCAATTGCTGATTGCAACGTGACTGGTGCACAAAATGGCGCAGCCTAAGCTTGATTCAATAGCATGCTGCCTAATTACAATGCAGTACTTAGATTTTTGAAAGTTAAAACGAATTCTGAATTAGTTATGTACTGTACTATTCAAATAACATATGCCTAACTTTGATATTTGGCTTGGGTGTGAAACATAAATCTAAAGTTATGAATATCATTTTCTGTAATTCTCTGAATGAACAGTAGTAGGCCTACATACTTTGACATAAATATTAGGTTCCAACCCTAAGAATGTTACCACTACAAATTGTAATACTAATTCTTTATTGATACTTTCTCTCTACATGCCTAACTGAAGGATGTTGGTGCTCTAGACAGAAGGCGAGTAGTTTAAGGCAAGCTTAGGTTGAAATTACCTGAGATGGACAACATAACAGCATTTTGTGACTTCTTGAAATCGAAACATGATTAAATATTGTAAGTACAACAGTATTTTTCTAAGACCAACTTACAAAATGTTCTTCATTTTTAAAATTATAGGCCGCCAGAGTTTTACCTACAGTATGACTTCAGGAACAACATTTAGGATCATTCTGTTTATGTAGCCAATTAGTCATAACCAATTAGTGAACACCATTCCTTCTGCTTCCAGGTTGCTGATGATAACAGAATGGCTTGGAAAGGTAAGTTGTGTGCAACCCCATTTCACTCCAGAACACATTTACTAAAACACTATCGTCTAAAGCACAGTCATTTCTCAAGAGTGAGTCCACTGCCATGTCTCTATGAAGATTATGTTTGCACATTTCAGTCTTTTAACTGCCGTCTGTGTACAATCAAGCAACCTTTCTTTGAATCTGTACTCTACAGTCACCTTAGGGGACATTTAAAGAAGCATGAGATTGTGGCATGCCCATTTAAGAGTTGTGATTACCACACAAATGTGTACTTGTCATTTAATTCATACAAGAGTAGGACACACCAAGTGAGTGTTAGGTCACTGCTGCACAAGAAATCGTTGACCACTTAAATCAGATATTCTCCTTGTCCCAACCATTAATCTAGGAGGCAATTAGCTAGGTATTTCAGAAGCATGACTACACTATTAGTGATGCTACGCCTAATGAAGTTTGTCGAGGTCATGGACAGTCATGTTCTTTCCAGTGCTACTGCTGAAGGTGCGCAGTTACCATCTTACAAGAGGAGAAAAACGTTTGCTGAGAGAAACTATCCCATGGTAATGCCGGTACAGTATGTTTTAGACTTCGACCAACCTGGACTCACAATGGTGTATGTTCCAATACTTCAGATGATTCAAGGACTGTTTAAAAACACTGATATTCTAAGCAAGATCTCAGAACCAAATATTGAGCCAAGTCAATACATGTCCCACAAAGATGGTTCATATTTTCAAGAAAATGACTTATTCTCAACAGGAGAACTTAAACTGTCACTCCAGCTGTATATTGATGATTTAGAAATTGCTAACCCACTTCGCACATCCAGAAAAATGCACAAACTATCAGCAGTATACTGAGTCCTTGCCACTCTACCCAGTAAATATCGATCACTATACAGCGTGCCGTACTGTGTAAAGTGACAGACCTCCAAAAGTATGTTTACGCGGCTGTACTTGTACCATTATTACATGACATTCATTCTCTTTAACCATCTTTTGTGTTTTGGCTGACAATCTTTCTGCCCATTGATTGCGGGGGTTTCAAGAGTCTTTCAGAGCAGAGTATGTTTGCAGATTCTGTATGGCCACCAACAAACAGTTTCAGTCCAATGAAGTCAGAGAAGGAGAGTTTAGCCTGAGAACTAAAGCCAACCATGACATGAATGTACAAAATGTTGTGCAAAGTGATACTCTGAGCAGTCAGTTTGGTGTGAATGCGGATTGTGTCCTGCGTGAGTCACTGCAGTATTTCCACCCCATCACAAGTTTTCCACCAGATATACTTCATGATCTTTTGGAAGGTATTGTGCCCGTTGAGCTGTCTCTTTGCCTTAAAAGAGATGATTTGCCTTAAGTACTTCACTTTCAATAATTTAAACAGGAAGATAGCATCGTTCCCAAATCAGCACACAAGCAAAGTTGATAGACCACATCCCATTCCCAAGACATTCACCTCTAAAGGGACAATAGGGGGGAATGGACATAAGAATGCCACTCTCCTCAGATTACTTCCCAGAGGGTGATGGTTCATTGGCAGTTTTGATGGACTTGAAAGAAGTGGTAGAATTGGCGATGTGTCCAGCGTTTACAGATGAGATTATTGAGTATTTGCAGTGTAAAATTAGTGACCACAGACAGATTCTTAAAGAGACCTTCCCTGAGTATAGACTTCGCCCTAAACATCACTATGTCGCGCACTATCCCAACCTTATTAAGTGTTTTGGGCCCTTGGAGCACCTCTGGACTATGCGGTTTGAGAGCAAACATCGTTTCTTCAGAAGGGTTGTTCACGACATACAGAACTTTTGACCCCCAAGAGGTTCATTCGAGTGAGATAGAGTTGAAAGTTTTATGGTGAGTCATTATTTGTTTAATGAAGCCATTAGGTACCTAGTGTTACCATTTGTATTGTTTTGACATTCCAAGTGCAACCTCTCAATGTTGTATTCTTCCTCAGCAATGGCAGCTGCAGCTCCTCAAGCCATGATACTTCGCGTTGTTGATGCTGACCATACAAGGAAGATAAACCTGAGCTCCCGTTCAGCATCTGTTGATGACTTGATAAACATTTTGAAGGCCAAGTTTGAGTTTGACTACGACTTCCGCTTGCAGTATGAAGACCCTGACTTTGATGGACAACTTACCTGCTTGATGGACGTTGAGGAGTTGCCACAAAAGGCAACTCTGCACCTTTTAGTGGAAGGAGGAGATACAAGTTCTACAGATGACAGAAATACTTTCAGATGTGTCTTCCCCAGAGCGCCTCAGTAGGTGACCGCCAGACGTTTTTCCCATCCATACTTTTGCATTAGAGGTAGAGTTGAAGCTTAGAGAAGGAAATGCTGCCTTTGAAAGGAATGGAAAATATCTTCCGTTGTCTAGAGACCAAAAACATGACATCTTAGAGAAAGTTGCTACTACTGTGTACAGTTTCAAGGCTTACCTAAATGGCCGAGACATAGGAAAGGCAGCTGGAGCGCTTGTTACGAAACACCCCTTTCTGAAAGAGGCAGGATCTGACACTGGGTAGAATGGATGGAAGAACAGCATCAAATTCAAGATGGGTAACTACAGAACCAAGTTGAGGAGAGCAGGATGCCAGGAGACCTCCGTAAACGCAGGAAAAAGAAGCAGAAGCAATCCAGAGAATGAACCACCGCACTCAAACATAAAGAGACCTAAGCGGGCTGAAGTTAACTTTCGGCCAAACTTCCCCCTTGGAGAGGACTCAGGGAGTCTTGAAACGCTGAGGCAGGATATGGTCCAAGAAGATCAGAAGAAGGAAAGGAACTTACCCCTGATCAATAGGAAGATGCAGACCACATTCGCCCTGTGGCGCCAGGGTATAGTCACCGACACTCCACCAGTAAAGGACTTCCTTGATCTCTGGCCTGCTCTGCGCATGGAGTCGCAGGTAAAATTGCAATGCTGTTTTTACACAAATTTGACCTGCTTTAATATATTAGTTATACTGAATGAAATTGTGATACTGTGTTCCAAACTTGTGATAACTTCTAAATACTGTCCTTTGTTGTCTGTCTATTCCAAATGTAGGTGTATGCAGAGATCCAGCGAATTACAAACCAGAACCTGCCAAACATAAGCTATGCTGAGATTGACCGTCACACCCCTCGGTTGATGACCTTGTTTAGACAGAGGGCATTGAAGACTGGAAGGACTGCTGACGCTTTGGTTGACATTCTGAGGTGTCATGATCTACAGGTAAGACAGAGGACTCTGATCATTAGGGAACAGCACATTGCACTGGAATCAGATCTTGGTCGAATGCAAATATCAACTACTTATTAAACCTTGGGCTTAGTCCTGGACTAAAATCTTTTTTAATGGAGATTCTCCATTGAGCTTGCTTTTTAGTCCAGGACTAGGCTTAATAAGTATTTAAAAGGCACCTGAGAGTTTGCCCTTTTGGGACTATTCCATTGGTTCCATTGTACCAGGTTCCCAATTAAACCAAGCTCAGCACATGTCACAAGTGATTTAAGGCTAAATATTCTATATATATATTTAAGGCCCCGTGTAGCTCAGTTGGTAGAGCATGGCGTTTGCAACGCCAGGGTTGTGGGTTCGTTTCCCACGGGGGGCGAGTATGAAAAAAAATATATGCACTCACTTAACTGTAAGTCGCTCTGGATAAGAGCGTCTACTAAATGACGTAAATGTAAAATGTATTTGAATCTTTCTCTGGTACCAGGTTAGATTAGTAAGCCTATGTCATAAAATTGACATGTATGTATCCCTTTAGGAACTACATGATGCCCACACAAGGTGTACGACTGTTCTCCGTGCTCTTCCTGTGTTGCTGCGCGAGGAAGTCTCCAGATTTTTCAAAACATGCAAGTTAGGTTTCCTGTCATTCTGGTTATTTTTTATTATTATTCTGAGAGGATTAGATGGGTGAGTATGGTCTATCTAGCCAACCATAGATCAGAGTAGATATATTGCTATATAACATGTCTGTCTATTATTCTCATCTGAAGTGCATTGTGTATTTCAGGTGGAGGATTCAGACGAGCAAGAGCTTGGTGACTCACTGGTAGCCCTGCTGACAATCGTTGGTGACAACACGGAAAATCCAGTCCACTATAATCCAGTCAAGATCTCTGTCGTCCTGGAGAGTGAAGTTGTGGTGACTGACCTCCCCAGACTGCCGGATGCTTTCCTGGTAATGTTTGGTCTGATCTATGCTCTACATCTCAGTTATCCAAAATAACTGTCCAACACGTTTGAGTTCATTCAGAAAATCCTGCTAGGTTTAGAAGACCGGAAACTGAAGCCAATGCTACAGGCTCTGAAGAATGATTTGATGATACATGTGTAGGCATTGACTAAATGCCTACCACAAGCTGATGACACTCTTTGTTTTTGTTTCAACATAACGAGACGTGGCTTAAGGTTGGAGTCTTATTTTTAAGATGACATTGTGTTGGATTCTGTAAGAAGTTTTATGCTGAGCTGCTAGAATACAGTACAAAAGATTGTCCGAGTATTTGGTTTGAAGTCGGAACAGAAAATCTTACAGGCCACCTACCACAAGTGCTTTACATGGGCTTTTCCCTAAACCATGCAGGTGGAATTTGCATTGAATTCTATTGTTGCGACTTAACTTTTTGTATAAAAACATACACTCCTGAGTCTTCACCTGCTGTTTTATCAGCTAAAGCTGACATCTTTTGAGAAAGTACCCCATGGTAATGCCAGTACAGTATGTTTTAGACATATAGCGGTGTATGTTCCAATACTTTAGATTCAAGAACTGTTTAATAACACTGATAACACAGCAAAATCTCAGAACCAAATACTGAGCCAAGTCACTACATGTCCGCAAATAGTTTAGCCTGAGAACAAAAGCCAGCCATGACTTTAATCTACAAAATGTTGTGCATAGTGCCACTGCAGTATTTCCACCCCATTGATGATCTTTCGGAAGGTATTGTGCCTGTTGAACTGTCTCAATTGATATTGGAATTTCAGTTTACTTAAAATAATAAGCTGTTTTCTAATCCCAAACTAACATAAAAATTATTATTTGTTGACATTGTTGAATTTTTTTTATTGTTTAGGAAAGGAAGCCCAAAAGACACTTGCTCTTACCCCTTAATCATCATTACAGTAGCACCTCCACCAGGGTTTTGGTCAATTCCATTTCAATTCAGGAAGTAAACTGAAATTCCAGTTCTAATTTAATCTCATAGGAATTCATATTGAAATGTTTGTTTACTTCCTGAAAAGGAATTGACCCCAACCATGGTGGAAGTGCTACTGTAAAGTGTTCTCTTTAAAAGTGAACCTTTGCAGTATGTAGGCTAATCATTGTAGGTCATGGTGTATCTTAGATCTGCCATTTTCCTTAACTTATTATTTCCTTGCTCAAATGCATTGAGATTACTTTTTCTAAGCGTATTGTCCACTGTTATTAACATGGCACTTGAATAGGCCTAGCACTCACAAGTTGATTTTGGGGCTTACATATGGGGCAATGTCTCAGTTGAGATCAGTGTCGGGTCAATTCCATTTTAAATTCAGGAAGGAAACTGAAATTCTAATATTTTCCTCAAAGGAGGCAATGAGGAAAATATAAGAATTTCAGTTTACTTACCAAATCGACTGAATTGAAAATGACTGACCCAAACCTGACCTCCACTGAGACGTTGCCACATTGACCCCAATCTGTGCTCTTTAATTGTGAACCTTGCACTATGTTCTCTAACATGTGAACCTTTTACTGTATTCTCTTTAAATGTACTTTGATCAGGAGTCTTTTTTTCTTCAGGAAATTTTTTATTGTTACTGCAATAATACATCCATATTATTCCTGGTTTAAAAGCATTCATTTGTACATGTTTTTTTGTTTTACATTGCTATTATTTTGTTTGAGTTGGTGCTACTAAAAAAACCCTACGCAATCAGTTGCCACAACGTTTTTGATTAGATGTACAACTACCTTTTGATTTAAGTAAGTTATAGTTTTTAATTTGCGTATTAGTTGTCGCAACTTACAATAATTTATTACAGGTTAATGGCTAGGAAGTAAGCATAACACAAACATATTAAGTTCATGCAACATGAGGTTTGTAATAAAACTACTTGAAAGGGGTGCGTTACGTTTACTTAAACATAATGAGTTAAATCAATATATATTTTAATTTACTATAGATCAGAGTAATAAAGTTAATAATTCTAATTACTTTAAGTTACCTGTAATCAAGTGTATATTAATTAACAGAAATGATTAAGTACTGTATCAATCAATAGTTTAAGTTTCATAACTAAAAAAACTGAAGCAATCAGTTGCCACAAATGTATTGAGTTCTGCTAACAGTACATTCATCAAAATAGCTCAAACAACTGTTTTTTTTTATATTTCTCTGAAAATATTCACAAAGACCAAAGATAAAGGGAACTATATAGCATGCACTCCAACTATCTTTCAAAGGGTGCTTGATTCATCATAATCCTGCAGATTCTGTTTCTCTTTGGGGCCACATGACACACAGCTAAATCCACAAAGAGATAATGTTCTGTCTTAATTGTCCCCAAGAGAGATAAAATGCTCTGCTTTCTTTCCTTTTTTTCTACTAGTGAGACACAATCACATTTCCAGACATATGGGCTGAGAATTGTAACAGTAATATTCATTTATTACTCAAATTAAAGACTGTCAATCTTTCTTATGAATCTCATATGAATATGATCAACGATTAAATGAGGAAGGGGACCTTAATATCAGAAACAGAATTCAAAAGATTTCTATTCAAAATGATAATGGAGAAGCACACCAATTATGGGGACATTTCCACCACTTTCTAAATCCCAACTTAACCATAGCACTGAATGTAAATGTGACTGTTTCAAACATTACCTGTCCAAAATCAGTTCACCACAAGATACAACCTAGGGTGATGGACAGCATATGGTCAAGGACAAAATGGAAGGTACAGTATAGCCCATAGGGGATGGAAAAGATTGACATTCTGTAGAAAATATTCACCTAAAAACAGATCAAGTGAGCAAGCATTACTTCCTGACGCTGACCCTATCTCAGATACTGTTTCCTTGCTGCTGCAGATTTCCTGTAACTGAGTTTGACCTTCTTTAAACAGATCTATGTTTGTTCCCTTTCTTTTTCTTTGTTCCTGTTTGCTTCGGTGAGCTTCAGAGCTGCATCCTCCTCTCTCTGGGAGCATTTGCCACCATTTTATTTGTACTGAGTGGCATTTGCTTTGATGTAAAAAGGTGCTTGTTGAACTTCAAAGATAGAACACCATTACGTTCAGTCCCCTCGGGGCTTGATGGAGGATAAAACACACTAGGGAAAATCAGGAGATCTCAAAGTTTTACAAAGCCATTTAAAGTTTAACCCCACAAGAGAAAGGTGTCCTAGTCTTTTCCTCCCTACAGTACTGTAAATCAATAAAGCACAAAGACACTAACAGTATCTCGCTGAAGCTCACGACTAAGTTAGTATCTGATCAGACACAAAGTACTTGGGAGCCAGACAGATATCAGTTCAACATGTAAGTTATGTCGGGATAGCAGCAACATTCACAGGAAACTCATAGGAGACTTTCTATCTGAAACTTGTTTGAAGGACTTGGATTGATCTTACTTTGAGGTGATTTTGGCTCAAAAAGAAAGATCCTGTTGACTACGCCAAATGAAACACCCTGATCAAAACAGGGGTGCTAGAAACCTAATCTACAGAATTATTATTATTATTATTCAACAGTTTTGTAGTGCCTTCAGCCAAGGTGTTTCAGAGGGTGTTATTGAACCCTGCGCTGCAGGAAATGCAAATTGTTTAAAAAAGCTTCTAAAGTTTGTAATTTTCGTTTTAGATTTCAGACTTGACTTGCTCTAACAAAAAATGTATCAACCACTACAAAAATGTCCATTAATTATAATCCACATAATAATTCACATTTCCTGTTGCTGCAAGATTATTTTCCTGCTGTGAGAAACTGGTCAAATTAAGATACTACATATGTAGTTTACAGTCACCCATGGCCCATAGACTACTTCCAAGGTAAAACAAATGTTGATGAATACTGAAAAAGATTAACAATCTTCGTACCTGAATGAAAGCACACTGCACAGGAAATGTCTATTGAGGTTTTTGAGGCATCCATTGCCTACAGTAAAGTTATTGCTTTGAGTTTAGTTTTTATCTGCTGTTAACATTTCCTAATTACTAGCTGCAGTGGCTTTGGGAAGTGAGGGCTTTGAGAGCTGTGAAGTGCCCTGAGGACAGGAAATACCCACTCCTATAATCCTGGGCTCCTCTCCATGCTTTAGATCCAGAGAAGTACTCCCTCCTCCAGTCAGAGCGTGTGTGTGTGTGTGTGTGTGTGTGTGTGTGTTGTACTCCTCCAGTCAAGCTCCCATCTGCTAGGACGTCTCCCTCACATCAGTAATTGCAGCAGCTCTTCATGTAAGGCCCTTAAAAATCGATGCTTACGACCAAAACATCTCTTAACTGTGTGTGTGTGTGTGTGTGTGGCTCTGCAGACTATTTTTAAACAGCTAACCCATCTTCTCCTGGAAAGGGGCCCACTTGCACACCCAAAACATTTTCAATATTACTGTAACAGCGTCCTAACACAGCTCTGGAGTATTCTAAAGGGGATGCTGTCTGTGTCTCTGGTAAACTCCCAGCTCAGGTTTGAATGAACACACTCACTAGTGGTAGCACATACGGTATGAGGTTTGAAGAAGTGTGTTACCCTGCTTAATGTGCAACATACTCACAAGACTGTGGTTCTATGTTGCTCAGAGCATGGCACTAGCTACTCTGTCATGGGTTCCTGCAGGGACATCACACCTACTAAATGTGTATGCGCTCACTGTACGGTGAGTCAATGTGGATAAAGGCATCTACTAAGTAGCATATATTACAGTCAGGTCCAACATTATTGGCAGCATGATAAAGATGAGCAAAAAAGACGAAAACAATTTATTTGGATAGTCCTTCAGTAGATGCTCTACAGACTATCTACAGACTATCAGTAACATTTCAACTAGCTATCTCCTTACCGTAGCCCTAACCCTAACCTTAACCCTTATCCCAACCCTAAACTTGACCCTAACCCTAACCAGGACCTAATAAGCCCCAGCTGTGGCAGGGGCTCCATGACTGGGTTAGGTGAGACCCTCTAGGGGGGGCCGACACCCCCCCCACCCGGGATCAGCTGGTCGTTTTAGACAATTTTTTAC